GATTGCGCTTAAGATTGCGCTTAGAATTGCGGTGATTGCGCCAAAATATTGCGATTTTACTCCTGGAATTGCGGATTGCGCTTAAGATTGCGCTTAGAATTGCGGTGATTGCGCCAAAATATTGCGATTTTACTCCTGGAATTGCGGATTGCGCTTAAGATTGCGCTTAGAATTGCGGTGATTGCGCCAAAATATTGCGATTTTACTCCTGGAATTGCGGATTGCGCTTAAGATTGCGCTTAGAATTGCGGTGATTGCGCCAAAATATTGCGATTTTACTCCTGGGATTGCGGATTGCGCTTAAGATTGCGCTTAGAATTGCGGTGATTGCGCCAAAATATTGCGATTTTACACTAGGGATTGCGGATTGCGTTTGGGATTGCGAAGATTGCGTTCTCAGTGAACCGTGATTGTGCCACATGTTTACCCCTTGCCTTTTGCTCTTTACCTAGTTTTTTATTATTTATTTCTATTTTTTTTATTGATTTTTCCTCTTCAAATTCATATCCTTTCGCACGTCGCCCACTTTCAGACTCTCTCTTCAGGAGGTGACAAAAACACAGGTTAGAATTCATGTGGTCCGAATGACCCCTCCCCTCCCCTATTTGCCCTTTTTGCTCTGTGATTTATGCTGGGGCTGGTGTTTTTTCTTCTTCTCTCTGGCTGGGCTTGAAAAATTAATTCCACGTCGCTCAATTATGAAATTGGCGGTGAGCCACAGAAATGGGGCATTAAAATAAATGAAAATGTACACAAGAATCCCCCAGATAAATCCGCGAATGTGCGATAAATGTCCCTGGGTTTTGGTCAAAATGAAATTATTTTCCGCTGTATTTCACCTCGGCGCTAATCCCAAAGCCTCGCACACAAAAGTGTGATTCTGGTCAGTGTTTCAAAGGGGTTGGAGGGGGTGGTTGTGGGGGGAGGGGTGGAGAAAGGATCAGAGAATTCCACTCTGTGTATTGTGTGTGATTGCTGTTCATTCTTTCACATAAATTTATGATTAATATTACATTGTTTTTCTTTTCCTTCTTCTTCTTTATAAATATTTTTTATACAAATATCCCTTTTCATAGAATATGAAAATAGTCAATATATTATATCCAATAATTTTCTCAATTTACCCTCAAAACCCCCCGTTCACACACCCTCCTTCTTGTTCTTGTGCTTTCTTTTTATTGCTTTTTCTCAAATGTCTCATGCTAATTTCGCTCTCTCTTTTTTTCTTTTACCTTTGCTTCACTTACATTTGCACTTTGTCTTTGCACAATTTTTTTTTGCCATCTTCTTCTTCTTCATCTTCAGCTAAATTATTCAATAGAATATATATAGATTTCCTATGAGAGACACTCAAAGAGGCGCGCGCGTGCGCACATTTCACTCTCAACTGCAACATGTTCTTGGATTGCCTTTGACAAAATGTTTAAAGAAGAAAGAAATACTCCTTTTTTTCCAATAGTTTTTAAGCACCTTATTTTTTACCTTTTTTTTTAATTCATATGGAAGATATTCTCCCGGAAGAAAATGCGAAAGACACTGATTTTTGGGGGGGAGGGGAAGAAAAGCAACACTTCGTGGTATTCAAAAAAGAGGCGGAGCTTAAAAATGGGCGGGATTTGACAGTTCTCTGGGTGTTTTGTGAGGAAATTACTTTCTCAAGAATGTTTTTGAGGTTGATAAAGTGGTGAAAAAAGGTGAGAAAATGTAAGGGGAGGATAATATGCATTAAATCTGTCAAAAATACCTGAAACTTAGAAGACTCAAAAATTTTAGACTGTTTCCTCAGAAAATCTGCAAATTATAACAAATCTCTTAAGTTTCCTTTCAATATTTCTATTAAAAAAACACATAAAAACCCTTTTTTGGGGATCTTTTTCAACCATAACCTCAAAATATTATTCAAAAATTATCTAATACTCAGTTTGGAAGCTTTCTTTTTGTGGAAACTCACAGAAATGGCCTTTTTAGCTCAAACTCCTTTTCTTCTCCACAATAATCTTTCTTCTTATTAACATTTCTATTTCCCGATGAGAAGATGTGGAGGACCTCGAATGCTTTATACTTTTTGCTGTTGTGGAAGCTTTCTAGATCACAAACGAACTTAAAATTGCTGATTAAGAGTCAAAATCGTCCAGAGAGTTTTCTAAATAATCAATTTCCAAGTCCAAATTATTATTTTTAAGGTTATGTTGAATTTTAGCACAATTTGCAGTGTTTCTTGGCATTAGAGTGGCAATTTCTTTGACTTAAACATAAGAATCGACTTAAAACCACTGTTTTTGGACATCTTTTCTTATCATAACCTCAAAATATCACTAAAAGATCTTCAAAAACTCCACTCGAAAGCTTTCTAGATCACAAAAGTGTCTCTTATGATGTTCCAACGAACTTAAAATTGCTGATTCAGCATGAAAATTGGCCAGAAAGTTGTCTAAATAAACATTTTCAAAGACTAAAGTATTATTTTTGAGGTTATGTTGGATCTTAGCACAATTTGCAGTGTTTCTTGGCATCAAAGTTGCAATTTCTCTGACTTAAGCATAAGAATTGATGTGCCAGAATGTGAATTATTCACTAAATCTCTCCTTAATTCGTGACATAACCTAGAAAATTATTATTTTGATTGATTCTACGTAAAAATCAAAAGAAATCCAAAGGATTTAGATAATTTTGGCAGTAAAAGAAGCGTTCGGGAAAGGAAAATTGTGATTTTCTCAACATTTTCACTTCTTAAGTACTTCTCTTGTCATTTTGGAGACATTTTGTCATGTCAAAATTGACAATTAATGATGGAATTTGTCCACGAAGTGTGTTGAAATTCATTGAATGAATTTTGAAGAAAGGAAGGGAAAAACTAGAGTTGTAGGCTCTTATCAAATACAGTGCTAACCTTAATCTATATCTCAACTAGTCATCTAAGAGACTTTATGTACACGCGCGGCGACATGGCGCAGTGGAGAGCGGGATGTGCGCGCGAAGAAGTGCCGCCCCGGGAGTTTTTACCTGTGAATGATGTGACGCTGCTGGACTCCTGGGAGTCATACGTAGACGACGTGGGGCGTGGGGGTGCCCTTGGGCGTCGGCATGCGACGGTGATCGAAGTAGTCGAACTTCTCATAGTGATCCGGCTCCTCGCGCTCGGCCTCCTTGATGGGAATCTCCCAGGGGCGCAGCGTGCGATACTCACTGGTCAGCGCCTGGGCCTGCAGATATCGCTCCAGCTCCATCTTGTCAATCTGCTGTGGCACAATGCGCTCATTCACATTCTTGCGCTCCTCCATGATGCGCTTCCGGCGTCGCGCGAACTGCAGATACAGCACAACACTCACGCCCGCCATCGTCACGAGCAGCACCGACAGCACGGCGCACACGATGGTGACCAGGCGTGCCGGACACTCCATCTCACCCTCGGACATGTCCTTCAAACGTCGGCGGAGGCGCACGTTGTCCTCCACCACGTCGCAGCCGATGGCCTCGCTGTCCAGACTGAGGCTACTCGGGGCGCCGCCCTCCGCATCCAGGCGCTCCTCCTCGTGCACCAGTCGCCACAGCCACAGCAGCGAGCAATTGCACTCCAGCGGATTGTCCGCCAGCTGCAGACGTCGCAGTCGATCCAGCGGAAACTGCACGGCATCCAGTGTCCTCAGGCCGCCGCCGCGCATCGACACATCCTCCAAGTTGGGATTGCCGTGGAAGAGGCGCGGCGGCAGATCACAGAATGCCTGATTCCCATCCAGTGACACGTGCTGAAGATGGGTATTGTCCACAAAAGCCCTGCGGAGAGAGAAAGGATACAATAAACTTTATGTCTTTGAGAGCGCAGGAACCGCCCATTTCTAAGCCACGCCCACTTGGAAACTACTTGAATTGGATTTTGACGGTTAGAGTTTCGATTAAAATGCAGTTTGAAACAATTTTTGGAAAATTTTACAAACTAATTTACACTTAGAAGCTAAAAATGTTTCGCATTTCTTACTAACAAAAAGCTCCGCCCACTTGGACACTTAAATGACTGCAAAAACACCAGAAATTAAATAATTTTTGATTATTTTTCCACTGTTAGGGGTAAATGGGGCAGCTTCAGATTGGGGCAGCTTCAGATTTCTTAATTTTCTCAGAGATTTTTGCATGAATAAATTCCTGGTCTTCACACAATGTTTGTAGTCCTTAAGGACTACAATTGACGAAAATTTGCACAGGATTGCCTTGACTGTTTAGATAAAATAAGTGAAAATTGAAAATCACTCACAAACTAGAATTTTGCTGCCGAATTGATTGCGTGTTTTCTCCATTAAAAAAGCCACAATTCGCGTGAAACACAATCAAAGGTTATTGAGAATTAAGTAGAGATTCTAAATATGCCCGAACTTTTCCTCCTTCGCACGGCCTTTTCAGTGGGTGGTGGAAAATGCACAAACACTGCACACGGGGCAGTTTCGGATCGCCACGGACTGACAACAGCGCGCTCTGACAGAATGACGCAACATCACGGTCGAAATTTTCTTGTGGCAAATATTGAAGATTTTTCACAAAGTGCCGTTCTGTGCTGCATTGCTTCATCACGTTAAACGACTTCTTAGTGGAAAAGTGAGAAAATACACGCGAAAATCACTGATTAGAGCAGAAATTTCGAGAACACATTTTGCGCGGCACTTTCGCGGCGCGTCAAGTTGCCACCACTCACGCATGGTGGCGTTGCGATACAGGAAAAATGACGGGCAACTTGCTTTTCGCTCAGACATTTTGACAGTGCGTGCAAGGGTCCAGAAAAGTCGCGAAAATATTACTTTAAAGGCGATTTTTAGCGAAATAAACAGTGTCAGTGCGTAGAATAGATATCAAAGTGATCATTTGCCCGCGATTCGACAATTCCACAATGGAATTTATGGTAAATATCAGTGAAAATCTGAAACTGCCCCAGAGCAATCCGAAACATCCCCGTGCGGGGCAGTTTCAGATTAATTACAATATTATTTTCATTCTCCTTTAGAGGAAAAAGGATCAGTTTTAATGCCCAATGAAAGGCATTTTCTGAAGCTCAACAGACGAGAGTTTATTTGAGCATTGTGATCATTTCAATATATTCAGCCGATTCTTCAAGAAAAAATCCTAAAGTTGGAACAGCATTTTGAATCTGAAGCTGCCCCACTTACCCCTATTTGTTTGAAATATTCACTAAAATACGCAGAATTAATAGACAAATTGGAAGAAATTTGCTACAAAAAGACGATTTTTGATAATTTTTGTGTACTTTTTTTTCAAACAATTCGTAAAAATCAACTTTTTACATTTTTCCTGCCCATTATTTTCCCAAGATAAATTGAAAAAATAATCAAATTATGATTTATATAATGAAAAGAAGATTATTTTCTCAACTAAAATTGCAAAAAAAAATCTAATTTTGAATACATAATAATAAAAAGATTATTTTTCCGCAGTTAAATCACAAAGAAAAATCAAAATATTATCAAAAACTGAATAAAATAGTCAAAAAAAGAATATTTTTATCAAATAAAATTGAAAAATAATTGAAAAAAAAAATTATTTTCCCAAATAAAATGACAAAAAACCAAAGTAACCAAATATTGAATGAAAAAAGTAAGAAAAAATGAATATTTTCTCAAGAATATTAAGAAAAAAAATCATATTTTGAATTGGATTATCAAAAAAAATACATATTTTCCAAAGCAAAATTGAAAAATAATCAAATTCTAAATAAAATATGAAAAAAAGATTTTTTTTTCAATCAATAATAATCAATTAATCAGAATATTCACAATTATTCAATTATATTCAAAATTTGATTACAGAAAAAATTTATATTCAGAAAATAATAATAAAAAAAGATTAGTGAGAATCTTGTACGAAATAATAAATTTTTGAATCAAATATTTAAGGAAATAATAAAAAAAATCAATAAAAAAATGTACAAAAAATCAAAATTTGTATAAAATAATTAATTTTTAATGAAATAATCAGGAAATAATAGAGAAATATTCAAAAAAATAATCAAATTTTAATGAAATATTGAGAAAATAATCAAAATTTGAGTAAAAATCACGAAATAATCGAGGAAAAAGATGGAATAATCACAAAGTTAATGGTCTCAATTTGCACTAGTGATTAGCCCCTTGGGCGTAAACTATCAAAAGTCGACTTTTCACACTTTTCAACGCAACATTGAGAAATTTTCTACACGCGAGAGTTTTTAAGAAAAATCGTATTTCTTTAATTTTTGCCGATGAAAGACATTAAGATCAATCCAAACAGACTTTCAATAGTCTTCGATTCACCCGTCGATATGATTAAATTGGCCAAATTTCGCAAACCACCCAAAAGCGAGAGAGAGAAACTTGTAATCCTTGTGAATTTCACTCAGTGAAGAGTCCTGAATCAATAGGGAATTTTTCAAATAATTGTCCGCAAATATTTGCCATTCAATTTCCGCCGTGAAGCGCACCTGAGCGTGGACGCTTGAGTGACACGAATGGGTTAACTGTGGACACATCTCATCGCTATCCAAAGCGATTTTAATGCGCACAACTAATCCCGGACACGGGAATCAATGGCCACATTATCCGGCTTGTCTGTAATCGGATTTTCTCTGCTATTTTTCCTCATTTCTTTTCATCCAATTTTTTTTAGGCTCTGTTTATGTCCAAAGGGGGAAATCAATTGCGATTTGAGACCATTTTATTTGTGATTTTAATGCAAATTTTGATGATTTCATACAAAATTCTGATTTCTTTTTAATTATTTTCCGGAATATTCAATCAAAATTTGAATATAATTGAATATAATTGTAAATATTCTGATTAATTGATTGAAAATAATCTTTTTTTTTTAAATATATAACACAGATTTTGATTACTTTGATTATTTTTCTATTTTACTTGGAAATAAAATAATTTTTTAATATTCTTTGCTCAAAATTTAATTATTGTTCAATTTTACTTGGGAAAGTAATAATTTTTCATGAATTCTTAATTCAGAATTTGATTTTTTTTTTAATAATTTGTTTTGCAATTTTACTTAGGAAAATAATCATTCTTTTACATCAAAATTTGATTATTTATCAATTTTTACGTAAAAAATGATAATTTTAAGATTATTTTTTATTCAAAATTTGATTATTTTTCTATTTTACTCGGAAAAAAAAATTTTGTGATTATTTTATTCAAAATTTGATTATTTATCAATTTTTACGTAAAAAATGATAATTTTAAGATTATTTTTTATTCAAAATTTGATTATTTTTCTATTTTACTTGGGAAAATAATCATTTTTTAAAGATTATTTTATTCTGAATTAGATTATTTAGATTTTTTTGGAATTATACTTAGGAAAAATCTTTTTTTTTCAATTCAAAATTTGATTATTTTTCAATTTTATTTGGAAAAAAAATAATTTTGTGATTATTTTATTCAAAATTAGATTATTTTCAATTCTACTTGGGAAAACGTGGGAAAATAATCTTTTTTTTTAAATTTTTTATTCAGAATTTGATTATTTCAACTACGAGGGTGAATGAAAACTATGAAAAGTCGATTTATTATAGTTTTCGTCTTATGAATTTTTCAATAGCTTTTCATTTGTCTTTCTGTACAAGAATTTTAAGATTTGTATCTTATGAGAAAATAGAAAAAAATCTTATTTATCTCAAAAGCACAAATGGGAAAAAAGAGTCGAATATTAATTATTTTACGCCAAGAAAAATGTCTCAAAAATTGCACTGAAACGCAGTCAGAAAATAATTTGAAATGTTCAGAATTATTCTAAAATGTTTTTCAAGACTTTAAATGAATATTTCTCATATCTTTTAAATTTTTTCACTTGAAAACTTTAAGAGAAAATTTGAATTGAAGTATGAAAAGTTGATTTTAAGAACTTATAAAGTCAAAATTTTCAGGTTTTCCATTAATTTTGCCATATTTTAGTCAAAAATTCCAATAAATACCGATAAAATCAACTGAAATATTCAAAAAATAAAAAATTCAGAGCAATATTTGCACTTTAACGGACGATTTGAAGGCTTTTTTAAAATAAATTTGGCAAATTTTGCAGCGAAAATCTTGAAATCGTTCTGCTGAAAAATGGCAATTTTGACTTTTGATAGTTTTCGAGGCACCCGTCGATTTGATACTAGGAAAAAAAATCATTAGCCAATGTTTGAAGGATCTTAATGGTCTCAATTAAATATATAAATATTGATTTTTACTTTCAAACAATTAAAATGTGAATAAAAATAACCAAAAATGATTATTTTCCACGTAAAATTGAAAAATAATGAAGAACTAAATATATAAATATTTTCAAATTTCCACTTTTAATTAAGTCAAGCTTTTAATTAAATAAAAAAGCGATAAAAATAAATTCATTTACTGTGAATTCTCAATTTTTTCCGTAATTTCCACCACTGTTGAATCATGCATTGTTAATTGTCTTTGTGTTCTATTTCCAGGAATGCTCCTTAAATTTCCAAACAACAGCAAAGCATTTGGCGTTTAAGGGTAATCTCGGGAATAATCCCTTGACAACATATATATTGATTGAAATTTGCTGTGCACGACAAGAAGCAGTTTATATTATTTGTTGGAATGGAAATTTTTGGGCATCACAGATCTCGTATTTCTCACAAGATTCCCGCCCCGCATTTGTCTCTCCTCAAAATTGAAGGCATCCTGGCGTGGAGCATTCCAACATCCCCGGCCAAGGGGCAGATATTATGACTGGAAGTGGTGTACAACTTCATGGAAGTATATTAATGGAATATT